AGGGCAACGCAGCCAACCACAAATGGCAGCTCCACGCAGGAACGAATGGGATAAGGTGCTTTCAAGTTCTCCGCCAATATGGTTGTTGGTGTTGATTCTCTGGAGCAGCCCAATGACGCTGTCATAATTCGGCCACTTTTTATCTTATCTTCGACGATCTCATCTTATCTTGGCACGACTTATCTTATCACGGATCACGGCATCAGACGGTCCGGGCTAGGGGTTCCAGGGGATTATCCTTATTGATTCAAGGCTGCGCGACATATGCTCCGGAAGGTTCTACTACAACCCATGACCAGTGCTCCATGCCGTACATAGCCCTATGACTCATTAGTTGTAGATATGACTCAGACTGGATTTGGGTATAAATACTGTAGCTACTTGGTTGTATTCTCCAGTCTTCGAATTCACTTCTCTTTTCGACTTGTTTTTGGGTTGATTGTCACAGACGCGCTCAAAAGGAAAAGACCACCAAGAGATGATGGGACCAAAGAGTATGAGAAAGTCATATATGTGGAACACCATGTGAACATTCGGTCGCATAGCATGGGACCAGGTGTGTGGGTGTGTGACGGAATAACCTGCTCTATGTTATGACCCATTCCCGCTTACTCACCAGATTGATTGTTATTGTTTACGTAGGTAGTTCGATCGTAGTATAAGTACGTAGAGTTGTACGATCGAGAGATGTGACAATCAACCCAAAAACAAAGTCGAAAAGAGAAGTGAATTCGAAGACTGGAGAATACAACCAAGTAGCTACAGTATTTATATCCAAATCCAGTCTGAGTCATATCTACAACTAATGAGTCATAGGGCTATGTACCGCATGGAACGCTGGTCATGGGTCGTAGTAGAACCTTCTGGAGCATATGTCGCGCAGCCTCGAATCGATGAAGATAATCCCTGAAACCCCTAGTCCGGACCGTCTGATGCTGTGATCCGTGATAAGATAAGTTGTGCCAAGATAAGATAAGATCGTTGATGATAAGATGAAAAAGTGGCCGAACTATGACATTACCCCCTCTCTAGGGTCGATGTCCTCATCGACCAGGCCAATGGGTAAGAAGACGTTCTCGTAAGGGTCGAAGAGCTGTCGTTGGGGGTATGGAAGGCGCTCGTCCCTGGGCTGGTAGCGATGAATGAGATAGTCCCAGTGTCCAGCTTCGAGCGTTGGCAGGAGGCGAATGCGTGTGTCTGGATTTGATTGTTTCCTCTGCCAGTCTCTCAGGACGTCCTTTGCGTGGGTAAGGTGACGTGATGGTTCCCAGGTGTTCTCGCTGTGCGGCCATCCCTTCCATTTGACCAAGTACTGTTTTCCTCGGCCGACTTTTCGCTCTTTCACGATTTCTTCGACTTCCCACTCCTCTGCTCCTCCGATCATCTTGGCCACGGGTCTCTTCTCTCGGCGATGGGGGGGTGGTTCGTGATAGGGTGTCAACAGTGACTCGTTGAACACCGGGTGTCTTCGGTCCGTGTCCGGCAAATCCAGCTTCCATGCGGCCGCTCCAACCTTCTCCAGTATTTCGTATGGTCCCAATCTCTTGTCGCTCATCTTCTTTGATGGTCTATCCGTCTCGATATTTTCCCCTTCTATGTACACCTTCATCCCAACCTTCAACTCCGGAACTTCTTTTCTTTGTTTATCGTAGTATTTTTTCATTTTTTCTTTTGCTTTTTCCAATGCTGCTTTTGCTTCGTCTTGTATTTCTTTGATTCTTTTTACAAATTCCTCCGCCGACTCGTTCCTTGATTCCATCCGCTGCTCCACTCCCTTCCATGGGTGATATCCGTGATTAGCATAGAACGGCGACATTTTGGTAGACGTGTTCATTTTGTCGTTGTATGCGAACTCCGCCATTCCCAGCCACTCCGACCAGTCCGTCTGATGGTAGTTGACGTAAATGCGGAGATAGTGTTCGATCTCCTGATTCATACGCTCCGTCTGCCCATCCGTGATGGGGTGATATGCGGTCCCCGGATTCATTTCCACGCCCAACATCCGATTCGTTTCCTTCATAAAGCCCTTGATGTATCGAGAGTCCCTGTCAGTGATGATTTTGCGGGGGACCCCGTGATAGCGGAAGATTCGGTCCCTGGTTAATCGTGCTACTCCTTCGCTGCTGATGTCAGTACTAATTGGTTCGACATGGATCATTTTGGTGAAGGTGTCACACCACACATGAATTGCGTCATACCCGTTACTGACCGGCAGGGGTCCGATCTGATCCATGGAGATGATTTCCCACGGCGCGTTTGGAACTGCATGCGGGTGCAAACTCCCTGTCCTGGCTCTTCTGGTCTTGGTCCGCTGGCACGCTTCGCACGTCTGGATGTATTTCCGAATTTGGTTTCCCATCCTTGGCCACCAGTAGTTCCTTTCCACCATCTCCTGCGTTCGGTTGATCCCGGCGTGTCCGACCAAAGGGGTGTCGTGGTGTAGTCCAATGATTTTGTCCCGCAACTCCTCGTCCCTTGGTACGTAGAGCTTCCCATGGTACGTGATAAGCCCCTCTTCCTTCTTCCATCCGGCGAGTGACTTCTCTAAGGCCGCCTTGACGCTTCCATCAATTGATCAAATGGTCTTGATTTCATTGATTAGCCGCTGATCCTGTCCCTCGAATGTGACCTCTTGTGATCGGAAGAACTCGGGCTTCAGTAGCGTGACGTCCTTGTTGTCGTTCTTGCCCTGATCGTGATCTGCTTGTCGGGACAGGAGGTCCGCCTTGCGGTTGAGTGCGCCGGGTCGGTGTCGTAAGGTGAAATCGAACTCCGCCAACTCCGTGATCCATCGTGCTTGCCGTCGATTGAGCTTCTGCGGCTTCCGAAAGTACTCGAGATTCTGATGATCGGTGAAGATCTCGAACGTTTCCGTGGCTCCCAGGAGCAACTGCCTCCATTTGTCAAGTGATAACATGATTGCGAGCATCTCCTTGTCGTAGATCTCATAATTTCGCTCGGTTTCGGTCAATGCGTGCGAAATAAATGCGATTGGGCGCCAAATGCCGTCTTGGTTTTGGCTCAAAACTGATCCTGTTGCCCCTTCCGAAGCATCGGCTTCCAGACGATATTGGCCAGTGTCATTTGGCAGTGCTAAGACGGCATCCTCCGCGATTCTCTTCTTTAACCCATCAAACGCCGCATGTTCATCCGGACCCCATGACCATCCTGCCTTCCCTGTCAGCCGCGTCAACGGCTTGGCGACCTCCGCATATCCCCGAACGAAACGTCGATAGAAGTTTGTGAATCCGAGGAAGGCTTGGACTTGTTTGACGCTCTTTGGTTCCGGCCATTCCATCACGCCTTTGATCTTGACAGGGTCCATCCGCATCGAGTTGTGTCCAATGATTACACCCAGGTATTCGATTTCCGTGCGTTCGAACTCGCACTTTTCCGGCTTCAGGTATAATTTGTGCTTTTGGAGCAACTCGAGTACCCGTTTGGTGATTCGTCGATGTTCATCCAGATTTTCTGTGAAGATTAGTATGTCGTCCAGATAAACTACCACATGTCCCTCGTTGATCAGTTCCCGGAGTATGTCGTTCATCATGTTTTGGAAAGTTGCCGGGGAATTTGTGAGACCAAAGAACATAACCAAGGGCTCGTAAAGTCCGCGGTTTGTGCGAAACGCAGCCTTCCACTCATCGCCCTCTTTGATCCGTACGTTGTTGTATCCCCACCGGATGTCTAACTTGGTGAAGAACTTGGCGCCGCACAGGTTGTGGACCAGTTCGGAAATCAGCGGTAGCGGGTACCGATTTCGGATCGTCATCTCATTCAGCTTCCGGTAATCTTGAACAGGCCGTAGCGAGCCATCCTTCTTCTTGACAAAGAAGAATGCCGATGCCATGGGTGATTTTGATGGCCTGATTCGTCCGCTGGCTAGGTTCTCTTGTAAGAACTCGTCGAGTTTGACCTGCTCGTTTCTCGATAAGGGGTATACCTTGCAGTCCACTGCTTTGGAGCCTGGTTTGAGCTCGATCGCATGATCCCATGCCCGTCGGTCCGGTAGCGAGTCGAATGATTCCTTGGCGAATACTTTGACGAATTCTCGGTATTGATCTGGAATCTTTCCCTCGGTCATTCTCTCCTTCTCCTTTTCCGCTTCTTCTGCGAATTTCTGCGCCGGCGTTTCCTTCAGCCGTAGGTCTACCTCCTTTCCAAAGTCGATCAACAAGATCGATTCTCCCTCTTCCAGATCCGGTGCACCCGCGTCCAGGTCAATTGCATCCATGTCGATCATCGCTTGGTGCTCCTCGTGACCCCTCATTTGACATTGCTCTGGGCATCGGCTGAATCTCATTGTCTGCTCCTGCCAATCCACCTCGGGGTTGTGTTCCGTCAGCCAATCCAGGCCGATGAAGATCCGGGCTTTTCCCAGACACGTCAGAAGGAACGTGCGTGTCTCCACATGAGGACCAATTCTCATTCTCAAGTCGACGTAGTGCGTGATCCGACCGCTGATGTTCTCGGTGTTGTCGGCGTTACGAGCCACAATGGGTTGCGGAAGCTCTTGGATATCCAGCTTTTCTGCCCGTGCGTAGTCGGTGTCGATGCAGCAGGTACTGCAGCCACTATCGAGCAGCGCCTTGACTCCATGCGTTTTCCCTGAGTCCAGGCCCGTGATCTGGACATATACGTCCATCGAATGCCTCTTTCTTTCGGCTTGGTAACTGCGCAATTCCTGCGCCAATCTGCTGGGCTGGGGGCCCTTCTGTTTCTCGGTCGCCAATTTCCTCTGGATGGCATCTGGCACCCTGGTGCGTTTGGGTGCTTCTGGAACCTCGATTTTGGCAGATTCCTTGGGCGCTTCCTCCTTTTCCAAGGATCGAGCCTTCGGAGCAATGCTCCCCTTTTCGGTCTTTGTTGACGTGGTTCCTTCTCCACGAGCCATAAATACGTAGGAGTCCAAAAATAATTTATCTGCAGCTTTCTGATCCTTTTTATCTTGTAAGTATTTTCTATTTAGAGCTATCTTTTCCTGGCGTTCTTTTTCCATCTCGGCAATAAGAAAATCGTGAATATTTGTACGTAGTGAGTCTGAGATCGTGTATGTAGATGAAATATTGTCCGTATCTTTAATCGAAACAAGTACAGAAAATCGTCCATAGTCCGGACGCTCCACCTCCTTGGCTAGAGGAGTGGAGCGCTTCAAAAACCCTTCTCGCGCAGCTTCTCGGCAATCTCCTTCAGGAACTCGTTGTCCTTGTCCCCGTTCTCGATTTCTTCCAGCATTGTGGCCCGATTGAAGAACGTGCGCTTCTTCTTGGGCTCCGGGCAGTTCCGCGCAATGTGCCCGGGCTGCTGACAGTTGTAGCAGATGATATTGCGGCCGCGGGCGTGGGTACGATCGATTTCCATCGGAACCGGTTCGTTGGCAGCGGGTCGGGCCGGAGCGGGTGTGGGCGCCACTGGTGCCGTTTGGGGACGGAACTGGGGAGGTGGTCGTTGTGTGGGGTGCCCATACGACGCTTTGCGCAGCTGGTCACGCAGAGCATTGGCTTCGATGTTGATGCACCAGGCTTTGAACGCTCCATAGGCCTTGGGCAGAGGGACACCAGTGTTGTAGAGACGGCTGGCGATCTCGCTGCTGAGTCCGCGCTCCAAGAATTCGATGAGGATATTATCCTGGTCCCCCTTCTTGTATTCGCCTTTGTCGTCGGTGGTGTCGACCACATTGTAGCCTGCATCCGCGGCCAACATCTCAAAGTCGGAGATGTAGTCCGCGAAGGACCGTTTGTTTTGACGTAGGGCCATAAGCCGAGCAGCGGCGACTTGTTCCGCATTGGAGTCCCCGAACGCCCTCTGAAACTCCTCCAGGAAGTTCTTTGATGTGACTCCTGCCTTCAGTCCCTGGAAGCCATCAAAGTTGTGCTGCTTCCAGTTCATCGCCCATCTCGAGGCAGCGCAGCTCGTGCCGTTCTCGTTACGGAGGTAGGAGAGGACAAAGAGGATTTTGGTCTCATCTTGTGAGAACTCCAATCGATAGGCACCGATGTAAGTGGTGCACGCGTCCACAAAGCCCAGGTATTTGGACTTGTCGCCATCGAAGTAGGGGGGGTTGGCGGCGAGGGTGATGCGGTGATGCCCTGACATGGTAGGGGCAGGCGTGTGAGGTGGAGGCGAGGGTGGTTGTTCGGAGGGCAGTTCGTCGAGGTCGGGGATCTCGTCTTCAGGCGGTGGGAGGGCGAGGTAGGGGTCGGAGGGCCCAGGTTGGTTTTGATGCGCCAGATCGGGCGACGATGGTACGATGGGGGGAGGGGATGGACTCCCAGACGACGATGGGAATCGGTACGAAATGGTGGATTCGTGTGCTGTACAAGCACTCGAGGAAAGGTTCTTTTGCTAGCAAAAAGATCCCGGGCCTAGCTCTTCACGTGCCCGATGATCCCGAGGTGCGTTTTCCCGAGAGGGTCTCCGCAGCACTCCTTGTAGCTACCGTAAGGCTTGGGTCGGGCTCAACGTTACCCGTGGCCTGGTGCTGTTTGCTTGATATGAACCCTTCACTGCGATAGTGGAGGACGACTAGATGATTCGGTAAAAGGATGAGTGGGGTGATAAGGGTTAAGAGGATATAGCGGGCGTAGCGGTGCAAGATGCAGGGTAAGAGGTATGAGGTAGGAGGGTATCAGGGGAGTCTTCGAATTATGTGACAATCAACCCAAAAACAAAGTCGAAAAGAGAAGTGAATTCGAAGACTGGAGAATACAACCAAGTAGCTACAGTATTTATATCCAAATCCAGTCTGAGTCATATCTACAACTAATGAGTCATAGGGCTATGTACCGCATGGAACGCTGGTCATGGGTCGTAGTAGAACCTTCTGGAGCATATGTCGCGCAGCCTCGAATCGATGAAGATAATCACTGAAACCCCTAGTCTGGACCGTCTGATGCTGTGATCCGTGATAAGATAAGTTGTGCCAAGATAAGATAAGATCGTTGATGATAAGATGAAAAAGTGGCCGAACTATGACAAGAGACCAGTCAATTTTACAGCTTATCCCTGTCACCCTTGGATTGACTACCCAATTACTCATGTGCCGGAACTCGTTCTAGGACGCTTCCGCCACATATTTTTGACAGTTAAAGCACTACTATCTTCGCCCTGCTCTGGCTACCTCGCAGATTGATCTCCTGCGTCCGCCGACTCCGACGAAGAACTTAACCATCAATACTATGCAACAACCAGACCAAAACCCACAACCCACCTCTGGCCGTGCCCTGTGTCACCGCAACTCCCGTGGCGCCGTTATGACGGCAGGGGAGCTTGCCGCCCATCCACCAGCCTCTGTAGTGGATTGCCCCGTGACGCCAGAGCGGACCTACGCTCGTGTCTTATCCCCGGCTCTGGCCACCCCTCCTCAGCCCGTCGACGCGTCCCCGACCGTCGGCAGAGACATCGGTAGTACCCCCTATGAGGGAGAACGCCCAGCCCGTGGAAACATGGAGAACTTGTCCAACGAGCCCCTGTCTGTGTTGGTTAGGGGCCAGACCAATAGCCTGGACCGCACGGGGCCGGTCGAGGAGGTCGAGGGCAAAGACGGCCCTTGGACCATAGCAACGAAGTGGACGGCTCGTACCCACCGGGAGTCCATTAGCAGCCGTAGTTCTCGTACTACCAGTAGAGTTAGTGCGGGGCATAATGAAGTCCAGGATAGCATGGAAGAACTTACTTCCATAATGAACGAGGCGGCCGAGAACATGTCGCCTAAAATGTTAAGGCTAATATCTGACCGTTATGCTCGCCTAGCAAACGCAGCAGAACAGAGGTCACCCGTCTCCAAACAGCGGCCTGAGATCGACGTAACTCCTGAGGTTACCGCTGTATCGGACGCGATCGGTGGCAAGTCGGTGTGGTCGGACCACGCGGTGGAAACCAAGGAGGAATCCGATAGAAACTCCGCCGTCGAGGGAGACTTCGCGTACCAGCTGAAGGCAGCTGAGTGGTCAGAAGACAGTGAGAGTTCCCATGAGCCATTGCCCGTGGGACCCTCCTAGGACAAGGGTAAGGGCCCGGATCCGGGGAACTGGGGCGAAGCTCAGTTATCAGACAACGAACTGGAGGATCAGAAGGACGCCTTCAAGGCGTTCAAAATCGCTCGTTGAGAACAGGCACGGCATAACCGTGACCGCACAATGATCGGCGAGAAAGTTAAGAAGGAGAATGACTCACACAGCAAACTCATTGTGGGACGACACCTGAAAGGACCCAACTCGGAGGAAGAACGGGGCAGTGAAGTACTCCTTCGAGAGCTGTCTCACATGAGAGAACGCCTTGCGGAAATTGAGGAACAAGAGCGCCGAAGGGAGAAACTCCGCCCATTAGCAAAACGGAAAGGACATGGGACTGGGGCGCATACCTCTCTCTCCAGCCCTAAGGATAAAAAGCAAATGCCGGGGGCCAAGGAGTCAGCCGGGTTCGTAACAAGCGTCCCGAGAGAAGTTAGTCTCCAACTGTCTGACAACGGCGGGTCGAGCTCCGACTCACCTTCCAGTGACTCCGAGTCGGCCGGCGACGGGTCTGGCTCGCCTCCCAGTGACTCACCCAGCAAGTCAGGCATGGAGGATGACTCCAGCTCCGACTCTGATTCCGACGGTTCCAGCTCCGACTCAGAAGTGCCGACCAGAAGGAAGGGAACCTGGAAGAGTGCCAAGTCAAGCACCAAGCAGAAGGGGAGAATGCTGGTAAAGCCAAACCCTCCTGCGGGATATGACGGGTCCAAGAACGCAGACCTCTATACCCCCAAAGGCGCACCGCGTGCCAATCATTGGTTTGTTTCTAGATGGCGACGTGAAGGACTTCTACAATAGAAGGATCAGGGGCAACGAGCATAAATGGACTCTGAAGAAGATGTTGAGGCGTTTGCTGAAATATTGCTTCTCTCTGGACTACCGTCAGAAGCAGCGCAAGCGCCTGAGTTGGTGTCATCAAAATGGGAAGTCCGTCAACAAGCAGGTACTGGAGTTGGAGAGCATTCTGCTGCAGATCGGCCTGAAGAAGGATCGTGAGTGTGTCGCGTTGCTATGGAACAGTTTTGATGCTGATGTCCAGGAGGAGTTATTCCGGTTTGGCTTAGACCCTGAGAAGTCAAAATGGGCCCGCGTCGTGAAGAAGGCAATTAGGGCGGAGCGATTCTTGAACCTGGACAAACAGTGCAAGGCCAAGAACGCAGTGGGCAGCGCGACGGGTCCTACTCCCAGCTCAGCGAGCGGCGGGCCAGACAGCCGGAAGAAGAAATTCTTCCCGCGGAGACAACAGGGAATAATCAAGGCTTCTGCCGCTGCCGTAATACCCCCCGGAGCGCTGAAGCCAGCCTTTCGCCCGCAGCCAGCAACCGCCACGGCCTCATCTGCCTCGTAAGCCCCAAACAGAGGCAACGACCACGCCGGGGACCGACCCTGGGAGCGTCGCCTTTTGTCCCAGAAGAAGTCCGAGCTCATGGCGCGCAGGGTCTGTCTCAACTGTGAGGAGGCTGGACATATGGCGCGTAGCTGCCCGAAGCTCATGACGATGAAATCCAAGGTCAAGGGCAAACCACCTGGGTTCGGAGCCCATGGAGTGAGCTTGCGCCTGGCGTTCCTGGGCGAGACCACCGAGATCCTGGAGACACTGGAGGTTGCCAGCGCTTTCCCACTCGCCTTTCGCGAGACGGGCGATGTGATGGAGCACCTATCCGGATCGGACTCCTCAGGACTGGATTCGAGCGACTGGGAGAACGTCAGCACTGTCCAAGCTGACGAGTTGGAATACATGGCCTGAGGATGGACGGAGGTCGCAGAGGTGGAGCGTCTGACTGAAGGGATCCGGACGCTGTCATTAGGGCCTGACTCATTGGAGTGAGCAGCAGCTGGGGAGTCAGAGTCGGAGGCTGACCGAGTAGGCAACCTGGCTGCTTGTTTTGCCAGCCTGGTCTTGCAGAGGTGTGCCCCGTTCCTGGGCGACGATGGTACTGAACCCATGGAGGGCCGATTCCTGGTCTACAGGGCGCACAACTCCGACTACCATTGCATCATGGATTGTGGAACCCCGCTGAGCATTCTGGAAGGCGACAAAGTAATATGCTCCTCCCTACCGGAGGACCCTAATTACGAGCTGGGATGGCACTGGGCTCAGAAGTGCTATCTGGCCCAGGGTATGCACCCAGACGCCCCCGGATTGGATCTACCTGACCGTTACTTCCGTACGTTGGGCAACTCCGTCTTGGCAATGACGCTTATTGTATTACAACAGTACAAAATGGCGAATGCTGAATATTGTAGTGGAACTACGGGCATGGCACCGCTGGAGGGGACGGAGGAGTGCCTGAACATTTATAAGATCTGTCGCATAGAAACCAAAGAATTGGTGTTTCTGAAGCGAGATCTGCTGAAAGATGAGGGCTTAAACCTGAGACAATGGTACAACGATCACCTCGGTCAGGGAAACCCGCACGGCGTGGGCCGGAAGGGGAGGCATGACATATTCAAGAGTGACAAGGACCGGTTTGATGATCTTCCAGCGCTGGAGGACGCCAGCAATTCGGGCAACAAATCGGAGGAAGACGATGACAGTGAGGCCACCGCATCCTGGAGGGCGTGGATTGAATCTGCGCACAACGAGGGCTCAGATGAACTGAGCCCCAAAACAGCGGGCTTGCTAACTGAGCCCCATCACGAAACAGCTCGGGTAAGGGAGCAGGCGCCGAAGGCGGAGACAGGCACAATGGCCGAGCGGACATTAGTCCGAGTCCGAGGGACTGGCAACCTCCTGGCGGAGGGAGTAAGAGGCCTGCTGGAGTTCAGTCAGCCTTATCCTGGAGATAACTTGGCCGGGGTACAATCACCCGGGCGGTTTCTGGTGTACTCACCCGGTCACGGAGCAACGTATGTTGTGAAAGATGGCGTCAACAGCCTGACAAGTGAATTGTCACTTGAGCTGCTCCTGGACCCAAGGTTCGAGCTGGCAGCCTGGTACACGCGTCGGGTAAGCCAACAGCTGAACCTGGGAGATGGTCATGTCTCACCAAGGCACCGAATCGCCGTCGACGATATGTTGGGCATTCAGCTGGGCTTCTATTTGGAAGACGCGGTCGCTCAAGGCTGGTTCATCTGTGAAGATGATATCAACATTGAGCCCTGTTTCTCAGTCAATGACAGATGGGGACCTACCGTGCCATCGGCATACGTTCTCGAGGGGTTTGGAAGCGGAGAAGACCTTATCAGAGTGACCGTAACGAGACAGCAACTCCTGGAGGGCAAGACGGACGTGGTGGGCATGCTAGTCAAAGCCCGCCAGAGGCAACTACTGAGGGAGATTAGGCCGTGTAGTCCGATGGTACCCCAAGACGACTGGTGGCTGACTTACAAACCAATGAAGGCCGATGGGGAAAACCCAGGCGTGATTTTGTGCCATGGGGCCCAGGTGCCCTCGGACAAAGTGGGGAGCATTGCTAGGTCGGCCTCCTTCCCGAGATCGGGGGAGACCGTAGTCGTGAAGCTGCTGGTTGTGGTGGTCCATGTGAATGGTCACCTGCTTTGAGCGCTTGTGGACTCCGGTTCGTTGGGCGATCTGATATCCACGACGGTGGCAGACCAGCTCCAGCTTCCCCCAACCAACCTGAGAGAGCCGCTGACGCTGCAGCTGGCCGTTCAGGGCTCCCGTTCTAAAATAAACCATAAAACAGATGTGAAGTTATGATATCAGGACATTAATACTTCACGTACATTCTTCGTCACCAATGTAAGCGGCTATGATCTAATCTTAGGGACCGCATGGCTGTTCCAGCACCACGTAAGTTTGGGGTTTAACCCCTCCAGGGTGTGTGTGGGATGCCCCGAGCCAATGGCACTCGAAGGGGCGGCTACCGCAAGATTGCACACTGGCACTGTGGGCATGGAGGCAGATGAGCTAGAGAAAGTTTGAGAGGAGCTGCGTGCTTACGCAAAAGTTGTCTGCAAGACAGCGGCGGAGACGGAACTGCCTCCGCTGCAAGCTATCAACCACACGATCCCGCTGATAGACCCAGGGAAGGTCATGCTGTGGTGCATGTTGCGGTGCCCCGATGCGCTGCGCCCACAGTGGGATGAGAAGCGGTGAATATACCTGAAAACGGGGAGATGGAAAGTGACTAACGCGGGAAACACAGTACCTATGCTGCTGATACCAAAGGCTAAGTCAAACCCCCCGCGACTTCGTGCAGTGGTCGATCTCTGCAAGCGAAATGCAAATACCCAGAAGATGGCTTCCCTGTTACCTGACATGGATGGCATATTACGTCGTGTTCCCAGGTGCAAGTTCCGGTCGCTGATAGACGGGCAGGACGCTTACAAACAAATACGTGTAGTACCGGAGCATGTGAATCGGACAACAATGACCACACCAGACGGAAATATGGTCAGTCTGGTATTACAGCAGGGGGATTGTAATGCGCCAGCCACTTACCAATCTCTGATGAACTTCCTGTTTTCTGATTACATAGGCCGTTTTATGGATGTCTATCTTGACGATATAATAATATATTCCACAACGCTAGAAGACCACAAGAAGCACGTAAGACTGGTAATAGACATGTTGAAACGCGAGAAGTTGTACCTGGGTGAGAATAAGCTTCAATTCCTGAAACCGGAATTGAAGGTCCTGGGACGAGTGATAACTGACCGTGGGATCCGGATGGACTCAGAGAAGGTCGACACCGTCCTGAATTGGAAAATGCCCACAAATTGTGACCTGTTGCGTGGCTTCCTGGGATTGGTCGGGTACCTTGCGGACAACTTGGCGCAGGCACGCGTACCCATGGGGGTCTTGCACGGCCTGACGGGCAATACCGTACCATTCCGCTGGAGCTATACCCATCAACGCGCATTCGAAGACATAAAGAGCATAGTCGCAGACCTTAGAAATCACCACAGAGTACCGCTCGACTATGGGCCAGATGCAGAACTGATATTCCTGGTAACTGACGGCTGCACAATGGGTGTTTCAGGAGTGGTGTGCCAAGGCCCTGACTGGAAAAGCGGGAAGGTCGCTGCGTTCTACTCGGCCAAGCTGAATTCTGCCCAACAGAACTATCCAGTTCATGAGATTGAGATGTTAGCAGGCGTCAAGTCAATGCTACGACACCGGGACATACTCCAGGGCTGCCGCTTTCAGTGGGTAACCGACCACAAAGGGCTGACACACCTTCTGAGTCAACCGAATCTCTTGGGTCGCCAGGCTCGGTGGGTCGAAAAGATCTCGAGTTTCAATTTTGAAGTGATGTACGTTCCTGGGCCCGAAAACGTGCTGGCAGACGTGTTGTCCTGGATGTACTCAAATGAAGCACCTGGAACAGTGCGGGCTCGCTCTGAGTATACGTACCACAACGTAATTGACAACGACGTACTGGGAGTTCACAGTGTGACAATGCCGGTGCTCTCAGGCTTGGAAGCAAACACAGTATCTTTGGATAGGGTCCTAAGGTCGAAGACGCGGGCGGAGGCAGCAGCGGCGAAGGCACTGCTGGAGCGGCTGAAAGTGCCATCCACAGAGAGGCTGCTGGCCCCAGTACCGAACAAAGTTTCTGCCCCAGAGGGCGGAAAGGAGGTGTCATAATTCGGCCACTTTTTATCTTATCTTCGACGATCTCATCTTATCTTGGCACGACTTATCTTATCACGGATCACGGCATCAGACGGTCCGGGTTAGGGGTTCCAGGGGTTATCCTTATCGATTCAAGGCTGCGCGACATATGCTCTGGAAGGTTCTACTACAACCCATGACCAGTATTCCATGCGGTACATAGCCCTATGACTCATTAGTTGTAGATATGACTCAGACTGGATTTGGGTATAAATACTGTAGCTACTTGGTTGTATTCTCCAGTCTTCGAATTCACTTCTCTTATCGACTTTATTTTTGGGTTGATTGTCACAGTCCAATATGCCAGCTCCAGCAGCTCCATTGAAGAGTGCGGTCTCACGGACGTGCTCGCCTTGGCGCCCACCAAATGAGATCGAGTGTTTGAATAGGGGGTGTGGGTTTTCAGGCTCATCCGCAGCATAGAGGTCGACAATTTCAAGTTCAAGAGGGGGAAATACATGTTGCGTGTCGACTCTCTGCTCGGAATGCTCTAGCTCATCCAAACGGCTAGAGTCTTGGGCTGACATATTGCCTACTACGCCTGCCCAACCCGAAAATCCTGTTCCTGCTCCTCAGTGGGCTGCCCAATGTCGTACCAGGCACTGCACTCAGGGACCGGTACACCGTGCTCTGGCGCTACATCGAATCAAGTCCCGACGTTGTTGACTGGGGTAATCGGCGGAGCGACTGGCGCTGGGCCTCGTTGAGGGCGAAGCCATTGATCACAGACCGTCCGGAATCGGCGTTCTTTGTCAGGAACCAGACTCTTGCACTCTCCACCGCGATGTGCTGGCATGCCACACCACCAGTACTCTCCTGATCCCGGAATCACAGTCCCTGGCTTGAGGGGAAAGCCAGTGCTCTCAATGCGAAGCATCCCTGCTGCTTGCGTTGCACGGTTGTTGCTCTGCCACTTTGCCACCTGGCCTGCATATGTTGCCTGGCCCTCCGGCGTATCCGGTTGCGCCACACAGATGACTTGCTCTAGGATTGTCTGGAGCTGGGCCAGTTCCTCTGTCGTTGGTACGTAGTCACCTCCCATCTGGGGTGGGCACGGTGGACGGGGCTGAAACGGTTGACTGCGGGGTGGCGCCAGCACAGCCAGTGGTGCCTGGCGTGGTTGTGGGGGTCCTGGCGTTTGTGCGGGGTGGTCAGACAAGGATGCGTACGACGGAGCACGCATGGACTGGAACATCCGGGTCATATTGCTGACCATGTCCTTCCACAGAGCAGCCGCCTGCTGGTGTATGGCCGTCGCATCCCGAAGGTCTGACAGTGGGATTGCTCGAATCTTTGCAGCGACCTCTTCCCAGTTCTGCGGCGTTGGAGTAAGCGCCTTTGTGATGACGCTTGGTTGGTTGTCTTTCCACAGAGCATAGCCTGACAGCGAGGACGATATGTTGGCATCCGAGGCCAGGTCCTTGATCCTGTTCGCAATGTGGTCCCGGGTGTGTATCTCTAGTGCTCCCACCTTTACTTTTTCTTGTGCCAGCTCCTCCATGGTGATCCTCATCTTGCACAACTCCACCTCGTATTGCTGAGGAGTTCTCTCAATGCCTTTCACGCCCGGAAATTTGCGCGCGAGCTCTGCGAGGTACTCGGCAAGCGAGGCCCGGTGCACCGATGCGGCCGCAAGCCCCTTCATGTGTCTCTCCGCTGGGCTATTTGGCTGCAGGTGGTCGTTCACTGCGTCTATCTGCTCATCAGGCACCGTGAGTTGGTGGTCATGCATATACCGTCGCATGGCCCGGCAGAAGTCAGCCGTGGGCATACTCAGTCTATCACGGCGGCCTGAAAAAAGCTTTATCTCGCGCGAAGACATGGCGCAGCGTGGTTGTGGACGAACAGGCGCGTTTTGGGAGCGGAAGGATGGAGGCAGTGTGGGGAGCGTGGTACCAGTCAACAGCCGTCGAAGGAGCGGTGGAGATGCGATCTCCGTCAGAGGTGACGTGCCAAAGACGTTTGGCTCTGAATTGCTGCGCTGCCACTCGCGTAAACGGTGGGTACGCGGATACGCGCCCGGTGATAGGCTGGCTACCAGACAGGCTCTGCACCAGCTCTGTAAGGGCGTATTTTTGCGCTTTTTACAGAGTTTACTCTTGAACCACTCGGTGTATCATGTCGCGGATGACAGTGTTGCGCTCAGTAGGACTTAAGGGTCTACTGCCCAGTCGACGACTGTGGATAGTGTCGACGATAGCAAGGCAGTCAGACCACTGCTGTGGAACTGGTCTTATGAGTCTATACCAGGCTCAGGGCCATTAGTGAAGAACGCTTGGACCGCGACCATTCCCCAAAAAGGGATCTGTCGTTGCGTCGACTTCTCAAAAAGGGTCATTCTCTGCAGATGGGAACTTGGGCTGAAGGGCTGAGCAATGTGCGACGTTCTCAATAATACAACTACTACTGGACAGGACTTGGCGTTACGAGATCTAAACCATCTTGTCGCGGCAACTCCTGGTTTTGAGTTGGCCGTTTCCTCAGATCACGCCACGACAACGACTTGTCACATGTCAGGATCCATTCGATCACGGGACATTGTGGACGCGTTGCGGTGACACTTCCAAGTGTCACGGCGAGTCGCGCCCATACCCAAACACACTAAAATCGACACGGCTAGATCCGTGAACCGAACCATGTGAGGAACAACTGGCGTGCCTAGGGCCATACGGCTTCTTGGGGCGCCCACGTTGGACTCACCTGCCAAGACATACCCGTTGGCCAATCCAGCACGTCATATTCCAAAAGTATGACGCGGTGGGTTGACCCACATCAAAAGTATCATATGGACTATGGGGCGGGGTCCTGATCACTCAGGGCCTGTCCGATCGTTCAACTTTTCAATTACCCTAAAAGGCAACCGATCTTAGATAGCATAGCTACTATGCAGTTGTACAGGACTTTACTAAGCATCGTCGTAGACAGTATAAGTAGCACGTCATTTCTTTGTATTAAAAAGCTTTCCGCCGGACTGTGAATCACTCTCATTTCAGATTGTTTTGTACAATTTGCGTGCCGCGTGATTCCACCCTAAGAAGTTCTGCCACCCCTGCCCGGTTGCAACGAGTTGCTCCCTGAGCACTTGTAGCTACTGTGATTCGAGTTTGAGTTTTGAGATATCAGAAAGTCGGATTCGCCGCATCTGGTTTAGTCGCGGCACTTAGTGTCGTCGCCTTTGGGCTTGGTTGAGATCGTTTCCACACCTCTAGTTTGGCAGTGCGTCGACTAGATGTATTCTCCCAGAATATGAAATAGATGGCAGGGGGAAACAAAAAAGTGCAATTTTTTTCGCACTTGCATTAGTGCTACATCTCAATCTTCTTGAGTTATATCAATTCAATATTATGTTGCCTTTCACTATTTCCCTGCCATCTATTTCATATTCTGGGAGAATATGACTCTAGAAACTCATTGCAATGTTCAGGGAGGCGTGGAATTCACCCAGAGAGTCCCTATTGCACTCCCAATGTAAAAGTACATGCACCTAAATGAAACAGATACAGCCTGATTTTTAGATCAATGAAGTGCGGAAAATTTCCGAAATGGTTGCTACAATAAAGCAAAACATTGCATCGAGTTACTGAAGCAAGAATATATGCACTACAAAGGGCACTTTGATTTCCAACATGTTACCATTGCTTTCCCTGCATTCTTTGCCTCTATGTTCATATTAACCTCAAGAACCCTTCTTTGTAATAATGAAAGCATGACTCATGTAAATTGGGCATGTAGAAATCACTGGTTATGTATCAAAGCAAGAAGGGTAGGAAATGGTTACTATGCATATATATATACAATGGCTGGTGCTACTATGAGATCTAAGACAGAAGTACATTACTTGAGAAGCATAGAATGTTAGAGAGAGATAGGGATGTACCTAGAGAAGCATGTGTTGTTATGGAAAGCTAGGTAGGGTATCACTGAAAGAATTGGGATATGGAGACATTGTAAAACAATGCAGTGACTTTGAAGAGCACAAATGTAAGTGATTACATAACAGAATATACCCTGAAAACCTTAGGCAGAACCCAGACCATGAGCATTAGCTATTCCAAAATTGAGATGAATTCCCATTTTGGGTTGCTATAAGTTGCATCAAAATATCCCCAAAAGGAAGTCACATGTCCAATATGTTCAATTTTGATTATATAAGATGATTATCCAACCCGAAATAGAAGCTGTGCCACATTAATGATCCAATCACACATAGCCACATCAAGATTAGATTTTTCTTGGATTTGATTATCAGGGTCCACTATTGAGTGAGCAGATAATGTCAATCTGGGTCTAACAGATAAGATGAGATTGCAATTCACATCATCAGTATCATCAAAAATTGATATGCAATCAAAAGTTGTGCCATTCTACATGGCAATAGAGCATGTAACTGATGCTGACAAAGAAAGTGATGGGAAATCAAAGTTGTAGCCCTTGCAAAACTGAACAACTTTCACCTACACACATGGGTGATTGGATCACTGATTAGAACACAGCATTCAAAATGATCTACATGATGAGATCAATTGAGAAATGATGTAGATCAAAGTTGAGTGCAGAAATAATACAACCAGTTTGTACTAGAGTCTAGTAGACATACCAGTGTGCTAAATAGCGCTCTTGGAAGCCTAAAACAAGGCCTAAAACACAATTTTTTTCTGTCGCTTCGCGCCAGATGGGTGTCCCCAACAGCTAAATTGGGAACACCCACAGGAGCAGTTGGGAACACCCAAGATGCTCAGTGGGGCCACCCAACAATATATGGCCCCGGTCCCCAACAACCAATTAGGAAGAAACTATTGACAAAAAGTTTCTACCATTAGGGTAGGGTAGGGGTCAGACCAAGGTGGATATTGGCTGTTAGTTGGCAGTGCGTCGACGCGGCATTTTGGATTACTAGTTGGCAGTGCGTCGACTCAGTATATTGGTTGTATCGGTTGGCAGTGCGTCGACTTGATACTTGGGCTTTGCATCACCATCTAGACGCTGTCGCTACAAGGGATCTTAATACTTCGTATTAAGCTCTGACTTGTTATATTGTTGGTTGTGGATTGGATTAGTGTTGGTTGTGTTCGTATAGAAGATATTGGTTGAGATACCACTGTTTACTATATATATATTCTTGTCGTCGACTCCGTCTCCGCGACTATTGGATCTGCGTCTATTGAGAGTTGTGATACTGGTGCTCTGTCCACCCCGAAGCCCTCGCATCTTTCACACACTGAGAAGCTGATTACCGAGGAGTGTGAACGTGTTTATATTTGGGTTTACTTTCATAGTAGATTCACTTGTGAGCACGCCCTCAGCATTTCACCGGGTCGAAGGGGCCCAGGAGGGGCGCTTGATGGCGCGCAGAGATGGGAATCTTGCACGTGCTGGTCTGCAGCACCAATTGTCCTCAGCGGCGCTGTCACGTTGCAGGTCGCAGGTCGCAGGTTGCAAGTCGCAAGAACGTCGCAGGTCGCAGGAAAAGACTTTTATCTCCGGAATCGTCCCAGATCGTCGAGATCAGAGGGCGTGGTGCGAATCCAACTCCAATCACCAGATGGAATGGGCACGGGCGGGGAAATCCACGTGGAATCTGGGTGTGACTCCTGCCCAAGACAGTGGCAGAGACTAGACTCGATGGTGCACGTGCTATGACAACTCTGACTAATGATCCGATGGCACAGCCACCCGATCGCTCTCGTGTACCCCTAACACAGTATGGTGAAAGGAATTAGTGAATGACGTCAAGGCTTACTGCGAATCTTGTTTGACATGCAAGCAAAGTAAGCCAAGTAACCACGCCCCATATGGTCTACTTAACCCTCTCTCCACTCCTCAGAGGCCCTGGGAAGCAATTGGAGTTGATTTTGTGGGCCCTCTACCTAATTCTAAGAATAGGGACAGTGTATTCAACTTGATCACGGTGATAATCTGTCTACTGACGGGAATGGTACACTTGATACCCTGTCGGATCAACTATACAGCCAGGCAGTTCGCAGAATTGATGTTCGAACATGTGTATAAACATCACGGCCTACCTAATGCTATAGTAAGCGACCGCGATGTTCTATTTACCAGCACGTTCTGGAAGCGCCTGCACAAGCTCATGGGCACTCAGCTGAAAATGTGGAGTGCGTATCATCCGGAAATGGACGGGGCAACAGAGCGTGCCAACAGGACGGTAATGCAGCTGTTACGACAGTGCGTGAGTAATAGACAGATGGACTGGGTGACTCGCTTACCCGCCGTTGAGTTTGCAATGAACACGGCCAGATCTGAAACAACCGGTTATTCGCCGTTCTTCTTGAATAACGGAATGATGCCGAGGACGTTGTTATGGGAGTCTGAGAGATCCAGGGAATTTCCTGGTGTTGCCTCGTTCCTACTCCAGAGACGTCTAGCGATTATGGCGGCGCACGACGCAATACTAGCGTCCCGCGTAAAGCACATTCAAACTGCGAATCGAAAGCGAATCCCTGCGCCATTTCAGACGGATGACTTGGTGTATCTGAGCACTAAAAATATTCAGTTCGAGAAAGGCTTGGCAAGGAAATTGCTCCCCAAGTTTATCGGACCATACCGGATTACACGCAACTTTGGAAACTCATTGTTCCAGGTGGAACTTCCCCCTAAGCTGGTGCAAAGGGGCCTCCATGACGTGTTCCATGCGTCCCTGCTACGGATACACGTACCGAACGACGACCGGAGATTCCCTGGCAGAATGGACAGCCAACTGAACGTTGCTGACGTGGCAAGTGA